AGATAGATAGATAGATGCATAAATAGTGGCTAAATATATCCTGTGGTGTTCTTACAGCATCATTAAATAATTTGCCTGAAAACTTAAGATAAATATCTTAAAATGAATACGTTTTTAAATGCATACATATGACTGAATTAATGGATAGATGAATTGATTAATGAGTAAATTAATTAATGAACATAATTCAAGAGGTAAAGGTTTATGAAGTTTTTGTAACAAATATTGCTGGTAAAGCTGACAACCAAAGCTGTCTTTTACCAAGGTTTAATTTCCATTTTGTAACTACGCACAGCTGTTGCATCTCTACTTACTTTCATGTAACCCATTTTCAACAAACCAGTTTCCACCCATCTATGCTACCTTTTATAATCTGCTTTCTTTTATAAGTTAATTTCACCTTTTTTCGTCCTCTCCCTATGTGGGGCAGCTAACTATCATAATAAATTGAAGCATTTGTTCAAAGTTCACTAACTAACCAACCTAAAGCTGACGTTTGTTATTTATTTTAGAGTCGTACTCAAATGGGATAAGAGACATGCAGGAATGAGATGCCATTTAGTGGTACCCTGCAAAGTTTGTCTTGTAAAGGTCAAAATGAGCAGCTGCCCTTAAAGAACAATCCTTTTCTAACTACAAACAAAACCTACGATGACAGTGAATGACAGTACTTTAGAAAATGCTTCACTTTGATGAGAGTTTTTCAGGGGTTTTAATGTTAGCAGATTTCACAGATTTTCACATCTTTCACGTATTCTATGCATCTTTTTTTCCAGCTCATATGCAGGTGTCTCTCCAGAGTATTTTTTTTCATGCTATACCCTTTCATGTGGAGAATCACCAACCGTTAACTGCAAAAATAAAACTGTCAACATTCGACCATATGTGTATATTGTACATCATTTATCTTTTTACACTACCTTAACTTTTACAGTATATTACTATTACATCTTTTGCTGAAATAAGACTCCTGCTTCAGCATAGTTATAAAGAGTGAAGTTTTAATGGAGATGACAGGCTCAGCTTGTCGTCTATCAGTCACACTCCTAAGTAATAAGACAGAATATCTAATATTCTATCTTATTATACACCAGGCAGATTTTATTTTGTATTATTTATACAAAATTCCTTTATAATATGAATGAGAACCTTTGAGATCCGACATACATGATCTGTTATTTTGCAGAAGACGGCTGATTTTAGTAATTATTTTTTTCTTTGTGTAATTTAGCGCAAGTTTTTTCAGCCTATCATCCAAAATAGAAAGACTACAATAATGCTAGAAAGATTAAGCCTACATCTAAACTGAGATGCTAGCAAAGAGAGCATTTATAAGAGTAGTGGCTAGAGGGTGTAAAAAGAATCTCTGCATCCCTTAAGGAGAGCTGCAGGGATCCAAGCCTCTATCAGCAACTATTAATCAGGCTATCTACAAATCTAGTCTTATATAAGAGTTGCAGAGAGAAGAGGCATCCAATATGCAGTTTGCCCCCAAACAAAACTGGAAGTGGCAGCATAATACTGTGGAGTTTTTCTTCAACAGGGAAAGGTCAGCTGGTGAAAGCTGGTAGAAAGATAGATGATGCTAAGCAACAGGCCTGAGCTTAGGACTGAAGCTATGAACTTACAGCCAGAGCTACAATAAAATAGTTTTTTGTCTCAGCATATTCATGTCTTAAAATAACCTAATTCCAATTGAGAATCTAGGGCAAGCCAGGAAAACTGAGGTTCTCCCTCCCAGGTAACTGGGCTGGAGCTATTTTGCGAAAAACGAGAATGGGCAAAAATGTCAGCCTCTACAGATGGCATACCCTAAAAAACTTACAAATGCTGTTGCAGCTGCATAGTGTTTACTGAGGGGAACGTTAAGCATACTCTATGCATGCCACAGTTTTCATATTCTTGTTCTAGAAAATTCAAACAAACCAACAACAAAAATAATGCATATAAACTATAATCCACTTTCCTTTTATTTTACAATGATGTGGCGCTTTGTGTCACGAAAAATCCCTCAGGAATAGATTGCAGAGTGAAACAGTAATCTGACAAGAGGTAAAACACTTCAATCCTGTTTAATAGCACTATGCTTTGGACTTAAAAGATCTGTAGATCTGGATGCTATAGTTGCCTATTTGGCATTGTGGGGGATTTTATTTTTTTAAAGAAATGTAAATAACCACATGTTTCTCTGGAAAGCAATAAGGGAATTAGATAAAATACTCAGTATCTGTTGTTATAATTGGCTCACGCCTGCTGCAGCTATGATTGCATACAGAATGGCTTCATCTCCTTTGAGACTATGGAAATCCTCAAATTATTGAGGTGGAGAATTATACAACAGCTGCTCTGTTTATAAAGAGGACGCTCGTCTTTAATAGTGTGCATCTTAATAAGCACAAATAGCTGTGACACAGAAGAGTTACTCTGCAAAATGTTGCACCCCAAAGGGTGTAACCAAAACAACATAATACTTTATGAGGAAGGAATTACAATTTGAGTTGAAACACCATTTAAAAAGAAAACACACAGTAACAGGGAAAGTTACATTAGGCTCAAAGCTAATTAGCAGCAGTGATATTTTCCTAAGCTTATTTTAGTGTACTTCCACAATGCTGTTAATTTGCTTTAAGCAATTGTTTTATTTAGGTATAATGAAGACTCACATGCATTCTTTTTACTCTTTTGAGCCAGCTAATATTGGATTACTAACAGCTTTACTGGCTTTGATATCCAATAAACGTCAAATTGACCACCGTAAGAAAAAATTGCAAAAGTCCCCAAAAATCCTAAACATATAGGAATATGATATACAACTTTGATCACAATTATTAATATTTCATAAGGTTTTCTAGCCTTTATAAATGAACAGTGGTTTTGGTTTAACATATAAGAGATTTTTATTGACCGTATAATCTAATACGTCCCAGGTTGCAAAATGTTTTAAGCAGACAAGAATATCGAAAATAGTTTGAAAATTGTTGTTCCATTACTTATTTCTGCTCTGCTCTAAAATTTTGAGATATTTAATATTTTCACATTTAATTAAAGTTAAAATAGGCCAATTTAACCTCTTGTTTTTTTAACAAGTAATATTTCCAGTAAGTTGTGGCTAAATTGCTGCAGTTTAAAAAAAGTATTTTGCATCAAGTTCTAAAATGTGTTTTTATGCAGGAGCACAAACTGTTAAGAGAGTTTTGATTTGCCAGATTCATTAACATTATCAACAAAACCCGCTGAATTAAAGTGTATGTGCTGAAAAACAGTCTAGCTGATAAATATATACAGTATTTGATGTGTAACTCTGTTACTGTTTATTTCACATTATAAGGTGAACTTACCTTAATATAACCAGTTCTTCTCGTTGGAAGTAACTTAGTCTTGAGAGTTAACAAGAATACTAAAATTGAGGCATCATCTATTATACTGAAAAAGAAGAAGTTTTGTTTACCTGCACAAAATTTCACGATCGGATTGAAATAAAACAAAAACAATTAATACTAAGATTTTATAGTTTATATGGACATACTGTAAATAAGTGGGATAAAAGGCCTATGCCAATCTTGATATCATGACTAGCGTCTAGCCGCTCACAATACGTCACATTGGTGCAAGATGCACTCTTAGCTCAGCTTGCCTCCGAATACCTTGATCCTGATAAGCATCTACATGCATGCTGATTGTATTGTCAGTCGGCATAAACCTCCACTCCCAGTCAGATTTTAATTTTATTTTGATCCTACCAAATCTGATCATAATATTCCGACTTAGCTCGACTGTTAATTCCTATTTTTTATTACCATGTAAACAGAGCTAATAAATGTTAATGGTTAACTTAATAACTTCTCTATATATCACAAATAACCCTGTTGATGGACATAGTATCATCAATTCAGTAGAACATTAATCACATGTTAGGTAAAAGATTCTGAATTCACAATATAAAACATTTTAGTTTCTATAACTGTTACCACATAGTTCTGTCATTTTCTTATTTCTGTCTTGGCTGCCTTTGTTTTCTTGCACCATAATATTTCTAGAAAACTGATAAAAAGAAAACCCTCCAGTGTTTTTCTAGCATTTAATTTGAATAATTTAAAACAAAGAAATTGATCATCGTGGGAGGAATATGACATGCCAAGAGGAATTTACAGTCATTGCAAAAAGCCAGCCTATCCTCTTTGTCTTAAAGGGTTTTTAACATATAAACATGTATGGATAAGCACAGTACCTTACTATCTACAAAACCACATTTAGGATAAGTCAGGGTCCAGCTTTGGTTTGCTTTTATAAAGATAATACAATTATTTATATATCATCGCAACCTTTACAAAAAACATTTTTTCTCTCTTAAATGTGTGTCTAACCTTTTTCTTCAAAGGTGTTGTTCCAGGATGGCAATGTTTATTGTTGTCACAATGAAAACACAATGTAATATATATATGTTTCTCACAACCTCTTATTATCTTAAAGATATAATATACAGTGTTTTTCTGGGGAGCATTTTAAATGTATTTTAGCATATAGCTTTAGGAAAACCAAACCTTTGATTACTAATTTAATAGTTATGCGAAAGTTGTGTATTTGTGATCACTATTGTTTCAAAAAGGTTTTTTTTTTAAAAAGAATATGTCAAGGGCAATTCCTAACAGTTTTAGGATATTGTTGAATGCATTTAGATGACATGAATGCATGAAAAATGTCTAAGAAAAAAAATCTTGATGTTTGGCACGGTCCTCTTTTATACAAGTGAAGAACCAAAGATATAAATGCTAACTTTAGGAGTTTGTTAACAAAGCTTTTATGAAATGGTTTAAAAGTGGTTAGTCCATATCTTTTTTGCTATCGACGTGCAAATCCTCTTGGAGGGAAATCAAAACATGCACTGCACCATTTTTTTTTGTTTGTTTGTTTGTTTGGGCAAATTGCTCTACTCTGAAGATGCCATTTTCTGAAGAATAATGACTAATTTCCTCCCATTTCCTGTTCTCTCCTTGTTGCAGCTCTGCCAGTTACAGAGAGAGGGAATAACCCCCACCTCTCTGGAGAATCCAGACAACAAGCAAAACATTGTGACCAGTCAACTTTAAGCCCTATTGGACACAGGAAAAAAGAAAAAGCAACAACCGGACGGGACCTCGAACAAATTCTGAGAAGCAGAGAAGAAAGCTGCTTTAATTTATCAGTAAACTAACCCTTAAAGGGTTGACACTGGACTTGGAAAAAAAGTAAGTCGTGGCCCAAAATGATTGCCTTAATTACACTTAGATAAATGTAAGGAGTAATGATAATAAGATACTTATAAAAGTTTAAAGATGTTTTCTTTTCATGTGAAAAAAAGTGTCTTGTAAGGAACAGATGTGAATATTTTAATATGATAGAAACGTTTGGTTGTAATGTTAACATTATGTTCTAGCTGGGTCAGCTTTGTAGGAGTCTTTGGTTCCTAAATGGTATGTTGGCCCTCTGCTCTTATGCAGCCAGTACTACAAATGTTTTGTTTTTCATTTTGGTTCATATTGTCAACAGAACAAGGCTGGCCTGAGTTGCTGGCAACAAAAATGTTGATTTATACTGATAACACAAGAAAATCCTCGTTAAGAAGGCATATAAAGCTTGGGAGAGAAGGCAGCACACTAAAATACTCCTGAAGAGTATCTTCTTTCATAAAGAATCACTTACACTAAAGCAAAGATGTCAGGAACATAAACACCTGTCATAAATATCTGCCACATTCAGTTTTTATCACATGAAATGGCAGATTAAAGCTTTCACCTTCCAGGTTATTGAGGAAAAAAAAAAAAGTACTTTTACTTTTGTTTTCTTTATTTTCTCAGATGCAAGTTTAGAGCTGACCAGCTGCTTTGCTGATATGTTTCACTCTGAATTTTCTGTATGCAAAAGTAACATGAACATGTGTTCTATATTTTTTTAAACCTAGCCTTGATAATTACATAACCAAAGGTGAAACCCTGAATTTATTGTATGTTGTGGACTTCTGAAAAATGTTGTGATATAGATGCACTCAGAATGGGAGAGGGATAAAGACAATTGTAAATATCAGACGTTTATACATGTGTGTCCGAAGATGTGTTGCAAGCAGAGTAAATTTTTTCTTTAGTTTCTTTGACTGTTATGACCATCAACCATGAGAATCTGCTTGGTTTGTTAAAAAACATGATACAATCACGTTCCTCATTTGTTACTGATGCTGCTCAAACATTCTCCATTGCTGTTGATTTTTGTATTTGTTTGCATATCAGTTGTTTTATCATGCGTAGCAGAACATATGTCTCTGTGCAGCTTCGTCTGAAAACCTTTGGACTTAGTTACGTCTCATAGACTTGCAATGTTGCCTGTGAATGAAATGATTAGAAGATTCTGCCGCCCTGCCAGTAGTAGTGATAGCTCATATTTTTTATGGAGACAGTGTTTTATTTCCCTATATTTTCCTCGATTTCCTTTTCTTGACAGTGTTAGCAATTATTGCACTAAAAAGCTTGAATTTAGACTTCCTAAATATAGCATTTCCTAAAGAAAACCCAAAGTGAACATTCCTGCTCTTTCCTGAAAAAAAGGCAATTGTACTTGCCCTTTAAATTGTATCCCTCAGAAAAAAAAGAAAAAAGTAGTTTACTTAATATTAAAGTATATTTCCCTAGTGTCAAGAAGCTTTTAACTAAGAAATAGTTTTAAAATAAATGTTAGGTAGTTTACAAGTGGAGTGATTCTAGGAAAGATATATATATTGGGATGCAGTAAATATGATATTTTTTGTGATTTTCTTACCATAGAGAACTCCTTTTTTTTTTTACCAAGCTTTTTGTTTTAAATCAATTAAATGAAATTTGGTAACGTTAAATAAAGAATATATATATATATATATAAAAAGCAACTTAAAAACAGCAAGAAAGGAAGCTTTGGATTACAAAGAGATGTTCTTGTTGCTGAAAATGAATGAAATAGAACTAATATTAAAAAATATATAATTAGTGCTTGTAGAGTTATTACACAGTGACAAAATGAAGGAGAATACAGAATGTTTTTGTTGCTGTTTTATTACACGTGCAGATCCATATTAAGATATTTCTAAAGAATTATACCTTATTATTAAACCTTTAAGAAACAGAGCACAGAAATTCTAACATTAGCAATGGCTGCAGTTGAATGACTTTTACGTGAGATTTTGTCAAAACATAATATATTTTTTTTTACGTAGTTAACCTGAGTTCGCAATGATTTGAGGCAGAAACTGCTGTTTGGATAAAATAACATTATGATCATTAGTGTGTGAGACTCGATCATCACACTAATGCAGAGGATTTTATACAGACTTAGTGGGTTAATGTCCCTACATTTAAACTGCTTATGGTATTTAAAAAAATAGTTGCTGGTTGATTCAAGGAAAATTTATCTGAGAACAGCAATAAAAACTTAAATGATGCCAAAATAATGTTTAGAAGCTAAAATCCAATTGGATCCAATCTTTTTTTTTACTATCAAAAACAGCAACTGTTATCAGTACTCCTTGAAATAAAAACACCAAGAACATTAATTGAAATTAACAACCCCAAAAGTATCATATTTAGAAAATATTTTTTTTTTTTTTTTTTTTTTAAGAAAGGGACTTTGCTTGGGCTTATTATTCCTTTGCTCATGTATCAAAATATTTTTTTTTTTTATATTTTTTGTTCTTTGGAAATATTTTGTTTACCTGAAATGTTTTACTCACTTTCAGGTAAATGAAAAGTGGCTTAATTTAACTTTAGAAATAGCATTAAACATAAACATTATATGTGGAAAAATATTTAGTTTTACATTTTTATGTTCCCAATGGGAATCCTCAGAACTACAACTCAAAATAGTAAAAAAAAAAAAAAAATTATGTGAGCGGACAGTGTTGCCGGTATTGAATTTACGATTCAAGGGTTTGCAGCACAAACAAAAATCAGAGGATGGCTAATAACAACATATTCTACTGAATATATTGTACATGGAAGTGATTTTATAGACTTAAACTATTTACAGTTATAATTTAAGGATCAGACTGCTACTATACATACGTTTTTTTTCCAATCCTTGAAGACCTGTAAAACAAAACAAATCAAATTTTAACCATAACATCTCTATCTTTAAATAGTGATCTTTACATTTGAGCAGACCAAACTGTTTCCTAGAAACTAATCTTGTGCCAAAACACCAAATTGCAAAGACAACTGCACCCTGTCTACATATCATATAAGAAGAATAAACAACATTCCTACCTTTATTTGAAATTTCAACATAACCAGGGGGTAGATATGTGTCCAGAATTAATTTTGTTCAACAGTTTTGTCAGATTATGTGCTTCAAGCTGTTCAGCACCTGTAAAGGCTCCATAAATCCCACAGCTCCCTGTTCAGGGACAAGGCATAACCTTAGGATTTAAATTTTAACATTGGCTCACTGGGTGCTCAGAGACCTTAAAACGGTTATATCACACCATCACTAAACTGTGCCTGGAAGCTACCCACTTAAAACATCTTAAGGTACGAATGATTCAGCATGACATCGCTACAGGGGACATTAAGCTAAAGAGGAACATGTCCACAGGTTAGGAGATGCAACGAGAACATGACCAGCCTGGAAATTGATCCTCCAGTTAAGCGGAACAAACATCTGGATAGCCTCTAACCGATTTTCCGTTATCTCTAAATTAAAATAATTTATCAGGCTGCAGTGGTGCTGATGCATGGCTCACTTACATCTGCTTGAATAAGCAGACGAGTCATAACAAAGAGAAGGGTCATGCAAAGTCATGTAAAGGAGACTGAGCATCACAAAGGCTGATAATTACAGAATTAATGGTGCAGGAGGCAAAATTTATATGGAGCTAAGTTAATTTGACATATTTATCCAGGAAATCTCATGAGCTGAATGTCATTATATATTTTGTGCGTCAATACTACTAAATCATTGTTGTAATAAGATTAGTTATAATTTGTGTGATTTAGAAAACTCAAATAAAGAGGTGAAAATGCAGAGAGATCAACAGTTTGAATTTGAAGGACAATCTGATTATAATTAGAAAGATTTTAGTTAAAAAGTTAACAATTTCAAAGGCTTGTTGCTGAATGGTCTGTAAATTAGGCTCATGTAGAGAGATAAAAGCATATTTTGTTTCTATATAAGGCACATTTTCATGTTTTTAAATTTATAATTCAAATAGTCATAGCCCACCTACAATAAAATCCAAAATTACACAAAATAATTAAAAGAATGGCATATACAAGCAGATTTTTGCCGCATATCTAAATATGTCCTTCACAAATATCTGTTCATATAATTTTGTTTTTCTATGGAATGATTTAGGGAGGATAAATTGATGAAATGGGATATATTTACTTCCAACGGAGCCAACTTACTTTTAATACTCTTCCCAGTAGATGCAGACTGAAAGAACTGTATTAGTCTGAGGATAAATGGTAATGTTGCAGCCTCAGAGAAATTATCTGTTTTAACATCAGAGTGAAATCCCAAAATGTGCAAAACAGGGATCCTGTTTGAAATAGTGAAGAAGAACTGAAACACTGTTCAATAGGAAGGATTAAACCATTTTTCTCTTTCAGAGTAGAATAATTCCTGCATTTAATCTAACTGAAATGATAAAAAAATACAGAAACATCATCCAAATAGGACATTTTCTTGGCAAATAACATTGACTCAAATTAGTTTTATCTTTTTGGGTGGGAATAAAGCAACTGTCCCTTATAAATCCAATTTGCATCTACCAGCAAGAGATAAAAGAAAAACATATCTTTCCTACGTAGGACCTAATGATTTTATTTTGTCTCAAACTAAGTGTCTTTAACTGTGAGTCAAACAAAAACACATAGAAAATACTGGGTTTAACATTCTTTGTCATCAAATTTACAATTTATGTTTTCCGGTTGATGTTAGGGTCACGGAGCTAAGGAACTGACAGACATCAATAGTTGGATTATAAATAATATACTGAAAACAGGATGCATTTATAATACAGTTTGCTCAAATACCTTTTTAACATTATTCTTACTCCCTGAACTTTTTTTAGTGTGTCACATTTAATAAATGCATTTTTTCATTTGTTAAATGAACTATACCAACAAAATATTACACAAAACTCTTACTTAAACTTTGTACCCATTAAAACCCTGCATAAACGCCCTTTTCTGCAAGTGTAATGGGGTATGTCTGACAGTGTTGCATGTCCAGAGAGTCGAATCCTTCCCATTATTTCCAGCCGAAATTCAATTAAATTAGATGTGCCTGTGTCTGTGCATATCAATTTTCAAATCTTTTCCCAAATTAGAATTAGGCTGGATGTTCCGTGAGTAATGCACGAATATGTTTTGATCTGTATGTTAGAAGCTCTTGTCTCATCAGCAGGTGGAGTTCTGTCCCATTGTTTGAAGGCTGTAACTCTGGTCAGCTTTCCTTACCACAAATAAATCGCCAAATAAAAATAAAACAAAGCTAAAATTGACAAATTTGAAAAAACAAGATGAGGGCTTCATGTTCACAAAAAGCAACTTGTGCTCTAAAATACTAACAACAAGCTTGTAATTAGCCAGGCAGGTGATTCAAGGGAGCACAGTAATGTGTCTAAAGCAGGATTGAAGAGGGAGTTAAGAAAGATTAACCTCTGGGAAAGAAGAACTTTAAAGCTGTCAGCGAAAATTAACTGCATTCATTTAGAATAGATGTGCTTTATGAAATCATGAGCATCATTTATTGGACTTATGTGGTCTGATATGTTGATATAACTTAACTGAAAATGTGATTTTTTTTTTTTCTGAAGTTGTCCAGATCACCTATATATTGTCCCCCTGATATAATCTTCACTGACCTGGAAAGGTTATTAAAAAAACATATTCCGGTCAATCTTAACATTAGGGGTAAAGAATGCTGTCTGTTCAGGTGGCTTCCACGGAGTATAATTATTTAAAGGGAGGCTTAATTATTCTACGCATTGGAAATATTTAAGTGAATGGTAGAAGAAGTTACCAGGAAAACAAAAAGTTATAAAATTAATTATCTGGAGGTATGGCTTCATGTGTCTTTGGTAAGACATTTCACCTGCCATGCCTGCTGTTGGTGGTTAGAGGAACTGGCTGGACCAATTGCATGAAAACCACATTTCTGTCAGCGTGCCCCAGCATAGAAAATGTAGCTTACCTTCATTAGCGTATAACTGGATGTAATACAAAGAGCTTTA